AGGTATTTAATAAATATTTGTTATATAAAATATATTATATTTTATTATAATTACAATTACAATTACAATTAATTGTTCTATGATTTCTTGCAGTAATTACTGAATTCTCTCCAACATTTGCTTTGGAATTATTCTGAAGAGAAAACAAACAATTATTGAATATTTAACATTGACAGGATGATAGCACCATTACCTTGCAGCAATCTAATATTCTGGTGGATCACAATCAACCAAATGATGACCATTCAGGCTATATGGCACTGACAGAACTCCCTGCTCATGGCTTATTATGGGCATTTCCTGAACAGAGAGGAGGCAGGTAAGCACCATTAAGGTGTCACCTTAACAGCCTCCTTCAGAAATGTGAAGACTGTATCTTCTAAAAAAGTAGCAAATTCCTTTGTAAACACCTTCAGGAATGCCTCTTGGGCTGAAGCTGAACTTAAATAAGAATAATGATTGCTCCCTTCAACAGGCTCAGTTGGTTGTCTCTGATAAAAATCATCAGTGACTATGTATAAAGATGAGAGCCTTCCTCTCATTTTTCTTGGGACAGGGAAAAAAAAGATTGCAAATAGCAGGAAATATGAAGAGTAGTTCTATTATAATGACATATTCATGTTGTCAATCAAGTAATGCCACTTCCAAACTTCCCTGGACTTGCCTTTGAGCACTCAGTATACAGGCCATCACTGGGCCATACCACAATGCCTTTCCACATTGATGGGATCGGGAGAGCCTGTAATAAGGAAGGGTTGCCTTCAAGAATCCACACAATGACAGTTACTAGTATAAATCCATCATTTAATTACAATCGAACATCATAATGATGCCTACTATAATGGATGTTTTATAAGCCCTAAAAATTGTGAAACAAAATAACAAAACTAAGTTAACTCACACTCCATTTTTTTAAGAAACAACTTACCCTTCATCACAATAATACATAATTATTGAACCAACTGAGGTATCAGTTGGTACATAAGCATGACCATTTTCGAAATTTACTGGATATGAGCATGGTGGTTCTGGTTTAAAAAAAAGAAAAGTTAATATTTACATAGCATTGTAAAGTTTTAAAAGTGGTACACACACAAAAATAGATATCAATATCTATATAGCAAGAAAAACATTGAGATACCTTAAATTAGGTGTTTTACAGATATCTTACCTAACAATCTAGCATGTACACAACACCTAATCTGAACCTCAGAGTGACCCAAGGTGGAAGGCACAACAGGTATCATTATCTCCATTTAAAGATTAGGAAACTGGGGCCCCAAAGGGCTAGGTAACTTGCCCCCTCTCACCCAGCTATGAAGTGTCAGACACAATGCTCAATCACAGGTTTCCTGTCTCCAAATTCAGCACCACAAGAATGTTAATGATGCCACTTGCTGCTGTGCACTGAATAGAGCAGACACCAACCAACCAGCAAGCATTTATTAAATGCCTACAATGTGCTGGGAATTGTGCTAGGTGCTGAGAATACAGAGACAAAAACTCAACAGCCCCTGCTCTTCAGGAGCTTACATGCTCCTTGATGTTTTCCAGTATGACTCAATGACTGAAAGACTAAAATGAGTTCTTTCTGTGCCCAAATACAAACTAAATCCTCAATTCCTCAGAATATTTTCTTGATTCATCTGTTATAGATGCCATTACAGGTCATAGGTAAGGTTGATAATTACAAAGAAAATAACTTATCAAGAAATGCAGGGAAAGCTGAAAAGTAATATGGAGGAAGACAGATTATTTACAACAGTATCTTACACCATATACCAAGGTAAGATCCCAATGGATGTGCAAACTAAATATGAAAGACCATGTCATAACAAAACAGAGGAGAATGGAAGCAGACTATGGCCAGAGGCAGAATTTTTTTTTTTTGGTGAGATAATTGGGGTTAAGTGACTTGCCCAGAGTCACACAGCTACTAAGTGTTATGCATCTGAACTCAGGTCCTCCTGACTTCAGGGCCAATACTCTATCCACTGCGCCACCTAGCTGCCCCTCAGAGGCAGAATTCTTAATCAACAAAGTGGTCAATCAATAGAGAGAATATAGAGAACATTGCCTACATAAAACTAAGAAAATTTTGCACAAACAAAATCAATACAATTAAGATAGAAATGAAAACTCTCAACTGCAAAAAGCTCGAGTCAAACATCTGATAAAAACCTAGCAGTCAAGATACACAGGGAATTAACATAAATATGAAAGGACAAGAGCTATTCCCTCCTAAAGAAGGTCAAAAGATAAGAAGTGTTCTTTTTTAATGGAATATAATTTTATTATAAAAAAATTAACTTTTAATTGATTTTTATGCAATCTTCAATTTCAAATAGATTCCTCACCTTTCCTTTAACAATGGAACCAACCTTTATAACAAATTTTAAAAGAGGGAGAAAAAAGGGGCAGCTAGGTGGCACAGTGGATTCTGACCTTGGAGTCAAAGAGGACCTGAGTTCAAATCCGGCCTCAGACACATGACACTTACTAGTTGTGTGACCCTGTGTAAGTCACTTAACCCTGATTGCCTCACCCCAAAAAACAAAAATCCAACCAACATGTTAGCTTTTTCAGAGTACACATGTTTCACACCTCCAGTTTCCCATCTCTACATGAAAAGGAAGTGTGCACATTTTCTCAGCTGTTACCTGGGGCTAATCTTGGTCATTATAATTACACAGCATTCAATCTCATTCTTTAGCTTTTCCCCTTACGCTGCCATAATACTAGACACTGTTTTCCTGGCTATACCTGTTTCACTCTACATCGATTCATATAAATCTTCCCACAACTTACTGAATTCTTCATATTGTTTCTTAATGGTACCTCGATATCCCATTACATCTACACACTGCATTTTGTTGATCTGCTCCCTAATGAACACACATCCTTGCTAGCACAAGAGAGTATTTTATGAACATGTGAATGAATAAGACCTGTAGCTCTTGGACCACTCTTGGGGAGGTGCCTTTGTTGTTGTTCAGTCACTTCAGTTGTGTCTCATCTTTCATGAACCCATTTGGGATTTTTGTGACAAAGATACTAGGGGATTTTGCCATTTTCTTCTCTGGTGGATCCATTTGTCAGGTAATCAGAGGTTAAGTGACTTACCCAGCATCACACAGGCTGGATTTGAACTCAGATCTTCCTGACTCTGGGCCAAGTGCTGTATCTACTGAGCCATCTAGCTGCCTCATAACAGCATAATACCTGGTTACAGCCCCTCCAGTAATGACTATGCCTATCCTTAGTCATCTTTGCCAGTTTGCTGAGTGTGAGGTGAAATCTCAGGTTTTTAAATGTTCATTTTTTGTATTATCTGATTTGCATTTCCCTTATTATTAGCTATTTTGAGTGATCTTTCAAATGGTTAATGGTTTGCATTCTTTTGAGAACTTTATGTTCATAATCTTTAACTACCGATTTACTAGAAAATGGTTTTAACATTTGTGTGGGTTCCTTATTTGGATACCAGACCTTATCATAGGCATGATATACAGATTTTTCCTCAATCAAAAGTTTCCCTTCTTTTCCTAATTGCACTGATTATGCCAAAACTTTTCAATTTCATGTAAACTAAAATTACTGATTTTATCTTTTGTGATCATCTCTTTTTACCTTGTTTGGTTAAAGAATTCTCCCTCTAGCCGCAGCTGCAAAAGGTACCTGATCTAGTTCTTTTCTAATTATTTTATGGTCTGATTTTTAATAACCAAGCTGCACAAGCATTTTGGGTTCATTGTGGTATATGGTGCATAGAAACAGCAATATCCTAACCCCATCTCCCACTCCGGTGGGCAAATTTTACAGCTTTTGAAGTACTGAAGGCTTTTTCAAGACCTAATTAGCTCAGGTAACTTAAGGCTCAGGCTGTTGATGTCACTTCCTCACTGCCTTAGAAGTCACTTCAGGGAACTCCAATGCTTGGGTGATGGATCACCCTAGGCATCTCAGACAGGGGAGCTTGGCTCAGCTGAATCAACTTCAGGTACCTCAATGCCTGTTCTTACTGAACAGCTTTTTGCTAGAGCTAAATATTGAATGACCAAGTAGCTCATTTGGTTCCAATTCCAAAATATTCATAGCACCAAATTTGTGGTAGCAAAAAATTAGAAACAATATAGGTTCCCATTGATTGGACTATGGCTGAACAAAAGTATATGAATGTCATGTGAATATTGAGGTGTTTCATTCTTTTCCTAGTGGTGGAATCTCTGGCTCAAAGATTATGTAGAATTTAATTACTTTTCTCACATAATTCTGAATTGCTTTTCAGAATGTTACATCAATTCATAGCTGTAGCAACAGCATATTAAGGTGCCTGTCTTATCACACAGCCCTTAGAATTGTACTCTTTCATATGGTTAAGCTTGCAATTTTTTGGAAAAACTTTTCATTTTTGAAAAAAAAAATGCATCTGATGACCAGGGATACACGGGAAGACTTCTATGAAGTAATGCAGAATGACATAAACTGAACAGGAAAATATACTCAACGAAATAACAAAAGAAAAGAGCACTAAAAGGAAGCCAACTGCTAAGTCATTTTAATCATTAAACTTGCACCAAAAGAGATGAAGAAATGAATCTCCCCCCATTTTGGTGGAGAAATGGGAAATTATGGGTGCAAAGTAATGCATATGTTACATATGTTCAACATGCTGAAGTAAAACGTTGTGTTTTCTTTTGTTATAGGGATGGATCACTGGATACAAAGGTCCCTCATGGGGGTGGGGTGGGGGTGGAAGAAAGAACATTCTGAAATAATTGATGTAAAAACAGAAGACGTCAATGAAAATTATTGCTAAAAAAATCAACAGTACAAAGATTCTCTGTAAACAATGAAAATTTTAAAAGTATATGGCAGCCTGTAATTAAGTATGAAAATGCATCACAGGAAAGAATATGGATTCAGTAGTTCAACATAAATGAATGGAAAATTCCAATAATAATGACTAAGATACAAATATATGTGATAGAATTACTCACTGTTACAAGACCCTGAGACAGGTGACCACGTTCCATCATCTTGACAAGTACTGAGAAGAGGCCCAGGTTTACTGAGAGTATATCCTGGCTGACATACAAAAGTCACAGTGATGTTAAAAGGAAACCTCAATCGACTTATGAATTCAGCACTCCGCTTCATACCAGGGTACGGGCCTGGGGGAAAACAGCCATCTGAAAACAAAAGGGGAAAGGACATGAATAAAGGAGTGCAGTCATGAATAGTTGATCAAAACATTTTCTTCAAAAAGCTTACAAAGTTAAAAAAACCCTACAATACACCATGGTATGCTATATACCCCCCCCAAATTCTTTACAATGTTTGTATAGGAATGAGTTTCTAATTCAACATCACATGCAAAAGAGAGATGTTATTCTGTATTTTTTTTAAAAAATCTATCACTCTTACTCTATTCAAAATTCATTTCTTCCAGGGATCCCTTGATAATCAAATGAATGAAAAAGGCTTTACTAAGCACCTACTATACAATAGGCACATGTGGTCGGCAGTGGAGATATAATTATATAAGAAGTTTATTTCTAACGGTGGAAAATAACACACATAAGAGAAGTTGGAACCAGGGAAGGGAGTTTTGACCTGCAGAAGGAAGTCACAGGAATTGAGGGTAATTCTATAAGGCAAATAATTATTATACCATTCTAGTAGTGATGGTATCACTGATTTGACTACATTTCCTAGGACAAGATAAGAAGAAGGAAGGTCATAAGGAAGTGAGAGTACTCTCACAGTGGCAGAGCAGATAAGATGCTTGAGCTGGACAGGCCCTAGTTTCCTTATGGATAGCTAAATGGGAGGTCAAACACTGGTCTGGAGCCAGGCAGATAAAAAACAGGCTAAGTGAGTTTTTAGTCACTCATCAAGTAATCAGGATAGCTCAGATGAGGTCAGAGCTGAGTGGATTAACTGGGGGAGAAGACAGAGTTCCTCTGGACATCCAGGTCTCTACTGGATTGATTAGTTTATACTAATTTCAATGATAAATGGCATTGTAAATATTCTTTAATTATTACTTCAAGTACCTGTTAGATCTTCTTATAAAGACTAATGTACTAGAGGCAGGAGACTTGTGTTCTACATTCTCTTATGCCTCCTGTATTACTCTATACAGTGTGTTACCCAAGAAATGTAAGCATGAAGTAAACTAACAGCTGCTCAAGAAATATGTACTGAATTGAAAATAATTCACACATTAAATTGATAACATACTAAAACACATTTAAAATATAGCATTATATCCATTTACTTGGCACTTCCAGGGAATGGGCAATTCCATATCAATAAGCCTCCTGGGTAACTGAAATTCACCCCCTAAAACACCAAAATTATTTAAGTTTTTAAAAAGTATGTTAGGTAGAAATCTAAATTGTATTACAAATTTCTTTGTCTCCTTAAAAGAATATGCTGGATAAAATCCAATCTATTTTTGGTAATCTGGTATCACCACCATAAATGATAACAATAACTATCACTAAAGTGTTATAATACCATGGAGAGCCCTCTCTGGTAGCACTTTCATCTAAATCCAGCATTCAAAGGACATAGGTTTGGTCTCAAAGGGGAAACCATTATCTCCAGGGTTCAAAGGAACTTCATGGGTTTGCACTACTAAAATTACAGCTCATGAGCCCCAACCAGTACACCTATTTTTAAATAGTTAGGCCATAGATACAGTGAGCTCAAGGAAAAGGCATTTATTAAGATAGGATAGTAAGAAAGTAACTACACAACAGCTCTACCTCCCCACACACCATAAACTTGGGGTGTATTCTCCCCCATATTAAAAAAGCAGTAGTTAAGAGTGAGGAAAAACTAAGAGTATACTGGTAGTGAAGTACACATGAAGGAAACATATTTAGCCTAAGTAATGCTTCCAGTACTGTAGGGCCTCAATGTCCTTTCTCTTCTTACAGTGTACTCAAGCTGCACCCTCTGAGAGTAGCATCTGTGTTGACCAGGTTGCTTAAATAGGTTCTTAGTCTGCTCCTCTCCTCAGTGCCTGGGCTAACTCCTTCTTGAAACCACAGTAGGCTCTCTTCTCTGCTGCCATTTCCACCAATTCTCTGTCCTGTGCTGGATTCAGTGGACCGATGGACAAGATGCTATGGACAGTGGGGCTGAGAAATATAATCCACCTCAACTCCTTGCTGTGTGCTCTGATAGAGGTGCTGGGTCATACTTCATCAATCTGCTTTCTGACTTGGCTTTCTCCCTCTCTCTCTCTCTGCTCCCTAAATGAAACAGAGTATTCCACTGGGTGAGTCAATCTGCTCCAAGACACCAAAGATGAGTAAGACAATGGGTGAGTGGGGCTGTCTCTAGGACTGGCAAGTTTAGCTTTTGAAAGGCCATCAGGATTGTGACCAATTTTTTGCCAGCCAAATGTAAGCTGCCCTTCCAATTCCACCCGTGAAATAAAGATTTTGTAAAGGTGCCATGCCGTATACACAAATCTGTGTTCCGTTTAAAACATTTTATAAGCCCCTTCTATTACTATGTTAACTAACTTGAGGGGGGGATATCAATTGGATAAGGACTAACTCTACACACACTGATATCTACTTCTTCTCAAGGCAACTGAGATGTGTAAGATTCTTTGTTCTGATGCTAAACATCCTTAGACTTATGTTTGAGTTTGTCAGCTTTTTAATCTATATCCCACCCCATTTACAAGGTATCAATTTCTCCTATTGCCTCTAAAAAGCCATTCTCCTTTATCAAAATTGCCTTAATGAAAATTTCACTCTTCAAAAGTAATACAGAGAAAACCATCAGCAAGCATTATATGTAATGGGGATAAGCTAGAAGCATTTCCAATAAGATTGGGGTGAAACAAGGATGCCCATTATCACCACTGTTGTTCAATATTGTACTAGAAATGTTAGCTTTAGCTATAAGAGGAGAAAAAGAAATTGGAGGAATTAGAATAAGCAAAGAAGAAACAAAGCTATCACTCTTTGCAGATGGTATACTTAGATAACGAAGTAGAAAATTACTTGAAATAATAAACCAATTTGGCAAAGTTGCAGGATATAAAATAAAACAACATAAATCACTGGCATTTCTATATATTACCAACAAAGCCCAACAGCAAGAGATAGAAAGAGAAATTCCAGGAGCAGCTAGGTGGCACAGTAGATAAGAGTACCAGCCTTGGAGTCAGGAGGACCCGAGTTCAAACTCTGGCTTCAGATACATAGTGACTGTGTGACCCTGGGCAACTCACTTAATATCAATTGACTTATAAAAAAATAAAAGGAAAAAAAAGAAATTCCATTTAAAGATACATTTAAAGTTACATAAAATATCTGGGAGTCTATTTGCCAAAACAAACCCACGAACTATATGAACATAATTACAAAATACTTTTCACACAAATAAAGTCAGATCTAAATACTTGGAAAAATATCAGTTGCTCATGGATAGGCTGAGCTAATATAATAAAAATAACAATTCTACCTAAATTAATTTACTTATTCAGTGCCACACCAATAAAACTACCAAAAACTTATTTTATAGAGTTGGAAAAAATAATAACAAGATTCATTTGGAAGAAGAAAAGGTCCAGAATATCAAAGGAACTAATGAAAAGACATGCAGGGGAAGGTAGTCTAGCAATTCCAGATGTTAAATTGTATTATAAAGCGGCAATCATCAAAACAACTTGGTACTGGCAAAGAAACAGAGTGGTAGATCAGTAGAATAGGTTAAATATACAAGTAATCTATTATTTGATAAACCCAAAGACCCCCAGCTTGTGGGATAAGAACCCACTTTTTGAAAAGAACTGCTGGGAAAACTGGAAAAGTGTATGGCAGAAACTAGGCATAGACCCACATCTCACACCCTATACCAAAACAAAGTCAAAATGAGTTCATGATTTAGATATAAAGGCTGACACTACTATAAGCAAACTGGGAGAACAAGGAATAGTTTACCTAACAGATCTATGGAGAAGAGAAGAATTCATGACCAAAGAAGAGATAGAGAACATTACAAAAATCAAAATGGATAATTTTGATTACATTAAATTGAAAAGGTTTTGCACAAACAAAGCCAATGCAACTAAGATTAGAGGAAGGTAGAAAATTGGGAAAGAATTTTTACAACCAGTTTCTCTGATAAGGGCATCATTTCTAAAATATAAAGAGAATTAAGTCAAATTTATAAGAATACAAGCCATTCCCCAATTGATAAATGGTCAAAGGATATGAACAGACAGTTCTCAGATGAAGAAATTAAAGCCATCTATAGTCACAGGAAAAAATGCTCTAAATCATTATTGTTTAGAGAAATGCAAATCAAAACACAACTCTGAGGTACCACATCACACCTATCAGATTGGCTAACATAACAAAACAGGAAAATGATAAATGTTGGAGATGTGGGAAAATTGGAACACTAATGCATTGTTGGTGGAGTTGTGAAATGATTCAACCATTTTGGAGAACAATTTGGAACTATGCCCAAAGGGCTATAAAAATGTGCCTACCCTTTGACCCAGCAATAGCACTTTTAGGGCTATATCTTAAAGAGATCAAACAAATGGGAAAAGGGGCCATATGTACAAAAATATTCATAGCAGCTCTTTTTGTGGTGGCAAAGAATTAGAAATCGAGAGGATGCCCATCAATTGGGGAATGGCTGAGCAAGTTGTGGTACATGAATGTAATGGAATACTACTGCACTATAAGAAATGATGAACAGGCTGACTTCAGAAAAACCTAAAAAGACTTATATGGTCTGATGCTGAGTGAAATGAGCAGAACCAAGAGAACGTTGTACACAATAACAGCCACTCTATCTGACGATTAATACTGATAAACTTAATTCTTCTTAGTAGTACAAGGATCTAAGACATGTCCAGAGGCCTCAGGATAGAAAATGCTATCCTCATCCAAAGAAAGAACTATGAAGTTGAATTGCTATTTTTTTCTCTTCTGTTGAGTTTTGTTTCCTCTTTCTAATGGTTCTTTCTATTGGTTTTAATTTTTACTTACAACATGACTAATGTGAAAATATGTTTAACAGGAATGTAAATGTATAGCCTATATCAGATTGTACGCCATCTTGGGGAGGATGGTGGGGAAGAAAGGGGAGAAAAATTTTAAGCTCAAAAGCATATGGCAGTGATTATTGATAAATCAAAATAAAT